GATAATGTAGTTCGGAATCTTTAAAAAATTGTCTAACAAATAGTCTAGAATAAGTTGCCTAACCATTATTCATAATTATGATTCTTCAAATTCTGCTATGTTGATAACTTCACCATCAAACCATCAATTTGGCTATAGAATGGTAATAGAGCGAATATCGATCCACAATTTATCCATAAGGTATTATTGAGATCTACATTCCATTGCCGAACCATTATTAGGATATGATTGGTTGCGTTTATAAATTGTTATAACTTTTCTAGGAACACTGCCAAACCATGGATTTTGTTAAACCTACAACTTAGAAAACAATATAAGAACGTCAAGATGATTAGACCTTCCGATTCCAATGTAATGCACACATACTGACAAAAAGAGTAAAAAATTGTCATCCATAATTGGGCAGCATGATTTGCTTGGCAACTTGTTTGTTGTAATTCATTGCATAAGATATCACAATCCAGAAAACACACCTTTGATATATTGCCTCTATATTAATAAATACATAGATGATTCGGACACGTGCAGTTGAATACATCAGAATCACCGTATATTCACTACAACCAACAAAGCTTTACTTCATCAAACGCCAAACCGCAAATGTTCATGCAGGCAAGATAACTTGCACAATAACAACCATCACAATCTAGCAACAAGGAACCCGGAATAACCAAAGCTCTGAATCACCATCACCACCATGTTGTGATACCAACCATGACACTCCGACAGCACGAAACGTTCAAGTCCACAATCAGTAAACCCGATACAATAACATTCCATTCATAAATCACAAAATCGAACCTCAACTACTATTGGATTTTGCCACCCTGTGACAACAGTGCACCGAGCATCACAATTCGATGATAGTTGAGGTCTGATTGTATAACCTAAGAACAGAGCTAGCAAAAACAACACCTACACGAATCTTGTTAACATAAACCAATCCACAAATATTTCATGTAGCCCAATCCCAAAACAAATGGTTACATATCGGCCGGAACAAACACATAGCATGGCTGAAAAAACAATGCTTAATCTTTAGACAAAGTACAGACCATGAACATTTAATGTTACTCAACGTCAACAACACAGGAAAAACTAATTGCCCATCACATGAGCATACCAACAACGAATACTCACTGCTAGGCTGGAATTGTAAGCTGAAAAATAAAATCAGCAAACATCAGTGAGCATATAATTCATGCTAATCGATTACAACCACAGACATACCAAATCAATGAACTTACCGAAGACTTAATAAACATAACTTTGTACGAAACACGTTGGACATTGTATAAACACGTCAACTTTTTTCCCTGCAAACTGTAAAATGAAATCAACAAAATCAACGAATTTACATTTTACACTGATCGATCGGCAGAAGAAACGCACCGAATCAATTACTCTACCAAAAAAATAATAAACACGAATCCTCATTTCCCTAAAAACAAACATAACAAAATGTAATCTATCTACATATTAACATGGTTAAGGAAAAATTATCTATCCGTATAAAAACCAGTACCTAAAAAACAGAAACAACAAAAGTTAATTAATATTCATGTTAAAAATATCAAGGAACACACTTACCATACAATCAATCATTCAAATAAATTGGCCGAACAAAAACAATCATTCAATCTAACAAAAAACGTTAAAATAGTTGGGAGACATACTTACAGTTTTGCATTAAAATATTAGAACATATACTTTTAGTTCAGAAGAAAAAATCAAAATAACAACTCATCTAACAGTATCAATCCGACATCCTACCTTTATCCCATGCCAATTCGAAACATACATAAATAAAAAAACCATCGATCAAGATGCACGTGAAGAACATGCATATTATTCTCACAAAATAAAATAACATATAAACAACTAACAAAAGACCAGACGTATTGTTTACGCCAACTAACAAATTGCAATGATATACAACTGAACATGAGCCCCTTTTATAACCCCTTATTTAGACCTTTCGAATACCAACGCAATTAATGTCAATACAATGCACCTACATAATTATAGATAGCAATTCTAGACAAATGTCATTAAACCACAACTAGTAATAGCAGTCTAATACACCTGTATACTTGTTATTAATGCACATCTTTGAAATGCCAATGCAATGCACCTGTATACTTGTTATTAATGCACAACTTTGGAATGCCAATGCAATGCACTTGTATCATTATTATCATTATTAAATATTAATACAAATCCCATTTTTTTAATTAATTAATAATTATAGAAGCATCAATAAGTGCCACATGGTGAACAACCTGCATGGGTATTCATGACGAAATATTAATACAAATCCCATTTTTTTAATTAATTAATAATTATAGATGCATCAATAAATATCAATCCAATGTATCAAAATAAAGAAATTTGACTAGCTTGTCAATCCAATGTGTCAAAATTGAGCAATTCTAAATATTCTAAAATGTGCCACATGGCAAACAACCCGCATGGGTATTCATGACGAACAAATAGCATGGGTATTCATGAATCTTAGAGTTAAAAATATCTCATTAAACCACACATCCAACATGGCAAGAGAGAGCAATTCTAGAGCTCCAAAATTGACCAATTTTGGAGCTAAAAAAAAAAAAGTGTCCTACGTGTCACTCGAATACATATGATTTTACCTTTTGATTTGGAATACCAATTCAGCAATTAATATCTCTTTACAACATCACCAATAAAATTCAACCACATAGCAACCACAAATCCTACGTGTCAAAATGGAACAATTCTATGAGTTCTAAAACATGCCACATGGCGAACAACCCACATGGGTATTCAGCTTTATATATATATATTGCTTCAAAAAGTTTCTTCTACCTTAATGAATACTACACTCACAAACCCTTCTTATTAACTTTTTCTCATAAACGCGACATGTCAGTTCGTAATTGTTTAGTTCGCAATAGATCATGTCTGTCCAACAATGGATCATGCTTGACCAAATGCGAACTGATCAATTACGAGCTGTCACATCAGCGTTAGTGAGAGAAGTTTATGAGAAGTGTTTTTCAGCTTATCTTTATTCAATGTGGATAGTTTCTTTCCTTCTATTATATATGTTACGATTACCACTTACCAATACATGCCAAATTATTAACCGCAAATTTTGGCCACTACACATTTGTTTAACGTCTTTGATCACATTTTAATTTGAGTACCATGCACCTCCACGCAAACGATTGCATAAAGGAGTGCAAACTAACAATAGCTTGTGAGGTTTTTACATTTTACAGTCATCAGAAGATTCAACAACTATTTCAGCCGCCTCAAGAAATGATTAGATAAAAGTTGGCAATCAGCGAGATTGTAGATCAAATATTGTGGAGCAAAACTACTTGACAAACCATCACTAAGGAGAATAAGGATCATCTCAACATTATGGTTCAATATATCTTAATACAAAATCACACCTAAAATATGTAAGCAAAATAGTTAATTCATTCAATTTTTGGCATCCATGGTAAAAAATAACATATGGGTTATACTGTAATTTCCTATTGTTTAATAGATTTGAGATGAATAATAACATTAACCTTTTTTTATTATTATTTACCAACTGAAACAAAGAATAATACTAATTACACAAAAAATAAAAAATAAAAAAAAATTATACAAAGTGATGCGGTACAAGCCTTGTTTTAAAACTCGGTGATGCGGTACAAGCTTTGTTTTAAAACTCGGACCGGACCAGCCGGACCAAGACCAGCTAGCCTCTCCTGTTCGGTTCAAGTTCTAGGGGGGGTTTTGCTATATTTAAAATATATAGGGACTAATTGAATTTTTAGGGGTATTTTTGATACATTTAAAAAAATTAGGGACTAATTGAATTTTTTGGGGTATTTTAAAAATAAATTAAAATTTCATGAACTAATTAAAATTTTCAAGGGTATTTTATAATATACTAAAATTTAAGAGACTAATTTATGATTTTTTTAAAATACTTTTGTTGCTGACGTCACCGGTCCAATGGACAAGTTCAAGTTTTAGGGGGGGGTTTGCTATATTTCAAATTTATAGGGACTAATTGAATTTTTAGGAGTATTTTTGATATATTTAAAAAATTTAGGGACTAATTGAATTTTTTGGGGTATTTTAAAAATAAATTAAAATTTCATGGACTAATTAAAATTTTCAGGGGTATTTTATAATATACTAAAATTTAAGAGACTAATTTATGATTTTTTTTAAAATACTTTTGTTGCTGACGTCACCGGTCAACCGATTGGACCGATCGACCTGTGACCCAGTCACCTTTCCAGGTCTCATAATGTGTTGGGTTTTAAAACAATGGGTACAAGATGAATAAATGGATAAAATAATATAAAGTCAACAAATTAGGTTAAATGGCGTGTCAATTAAAGAGTAATACTATATTATTTTATACGAAATATATTTTTTTTTTATGACCGAGGGTATTCGAGTCAGCTTGTGTGCACTTCAATTAATTCCATAGGCACTGAAGTTAACAACCTGAGTAAACTTCCAATAGTCATCTTTATTAGCCTTCAATGGCCACCCCTATTAGTTGGGGAGATAGATGGAATTCAAGACCTCTTAAATAATACATTTAAGAGTCTTAGTTGACCGCTCGATTACCCAATGATGGTTAACATGAAATACCTTGTATACACATTTTATATGTAATATTTAAAATTGGTAAACACATAAAATCAACTATAAACATATAACACAATATCTCCAATAATATGCTTATGTTAAAATTTATAAAAATTTCTCTTATTAATTCTTAACAAAAGTTTGTCTTTTTTTTTTTTTTTAATTTAATTAAACATTAATGTATGGAATATGGATTACTTGTTGAAATTATAAATGTATATTATATGAAATATAAAAATCGGAAATATTGCTTAAAAAAATAAATAGTGTTAAAACTAATAGGCTTTATAGGTAATTTAGTCGAAACAACAAGACGAGACCAATACCCGAACTTTCTCAACCCGACCGGAGCTCAGAATAAATTTTCCCTCACTCAGTCACTCGTCTTTTGACTCAACTGCATTCTCAACTTAATTTTGAAGCAAGAAGATGTGGGGAAATGCCGAAGGTGACACACCGGAGGTCACTCTAGAGACCTCCACGGGTTCTTTCACTGTTGAGGTACCTCTCGCTCTTCTTCCTTCTGATTTTTATTTTAATGCTATTTATTTACATTTTTCCTGGTGAATTTGATAATTTTTTATAACATGAAAAAAATTAAAAAAATGGCAGCTATACTACAAACATGCACCAAGAACTTGCAGGAACTTCATTGAACTATCTCGTAGAGGCTATTACGATAACACCAAATTTCACAGAATTATCAAGGTAGTTTTCTGCTTAATTGGGTTTAAATTTTAAATTAATTTTTCTTAAAGAGATTTATAATTTTATATTTTGGTATGGTTTAGGATTTTATCGTGCAAGGTGGAGATCCAACTGGGACTGGAAGAGGAGGAGAGTCCATATACGGGTATGTTTTTTCTTTTTTTTCTCTCTTTTTTCTTAAAAATAAACTACAATATGTTCCTTTCTAAAGCATAAGGGAAATATTCCATCGACCTTAGGTTTAGTTTGGCTGGTTAATTTTTGGATTATTGTGAATGTTTTATTTATTTATTTTTTTTTTCTGATATTTAATGGTCCTTATGTTGTATGCATCATTTCATTGTTCTGCATTTCAGCCGTAAGTTTGAAGATGAAATAAAACCAGAGTTAAAGCATACAGGAGCTGGTATTTTATCCATGGCAAATGCTGGTCCGAATACCAACGGAAGCCAGTTCTTTATAACTTTGGCACCGGCTGCACATCTTGATGGTAAGATCAACCTTCTTGCATATTTTGTAGCTGCCGTAAGAATTATTTTCAGCATCTATTGAGGAATTTTTGAAACATGTGGATTTAATTGCGTCTTGTGTAGTTGAAAGTTAACATGATATCTTATTCAATTTGAAAGCTGGAGCTATTTATTGTGACCTTACCTGCAGATTTTTTTTCAATTACATTAAGTAGAGGTGGCAATTTTACACACCCTGTCAGTGTCCTAGGCTGAACTGAGCTGATCAGCGTGGGTTTTTTTTTGTGCCAAATTCATATTAATAATCATCTCCCAATCAGGTTTTAGGGCAGTTGGATATAGATTCTTCACCTCAAGCCACCAGAACACAGTATATTTAGCAATCCTATTTTACTTAACATTTCTTTTATATGCTATATGCTCCATTACATCAAAGCTTTGATGTCTGAGTTTTTGTTGTCTACAATTGTTAACATTATGTTCAGTAACCGCGCAATCTTGCAAATACAAAGCAAAGTCTATAAGTGCCTACAAACTTGAGATTTTTTTTTCTTCCTTGACTGGGAATGTGTGATATAGTGAATATTATTAAATCTGTTTTCTTCTTTCATATATATTTGATTTGTGTTGCATTATCAATGTTTTTTTTTTGGGTAAGTAAACTTTTTATAGAAAGGGAGAAAGAATGTACAAGAGGTCTAGGAAACGGCCAACCTACCTCAGGACAAGCCTTGGGTTAGGAGCAAAAGAATGAAACTTATCATTGCCTTATCATTGTTCATTTCTTGATTCTAATTAAGGATTTTTGTGCTGTTGTGGGTTCATCTAATGATGAATTTTGCCTTTTTAAAGAGCGGTCTTTTTGGGAGGGTTGCTTGTGTTAAGAATTAAGTGTTGGTGATGGTGTAGAAGAGAGAGAAAATTGTAAATTTTGGTTTGGTTAGTTAGGTTCTGGGAATGTAGTGAAGGGGGTGAGGTCAAAATGAAGTTCAGGGACAAAGTGGGTGGAGGCTTACGATTCAGTGCCTGCACTGAGGGCATAAGGCTGTTGTAGGGTTGGGTTGTTCCTTATGTTGGTGGGTAGAGAAGAGGCAGGATCGCCCAGTGCAAGACCACCCAGTTTCTGTTCCTTGCTCCAGTATATTGTGAGACAGAAAACTAGAGTTTTCATAGGTTAATTCACCAAGGATAGGACAGCAGAGCCTTTTTGTCTTGATTATTATTTTTCCCATTTTAGAAATGTGTTTTGAAGCGGTAGGTTCTCCCAGTACTACCTGTGCCTTGAATGCAAGAACTGCTTCCTATCTTTCACTTCATTATAAGTGAACCTTTCCCAGATGAATTTGAATGTCATTAGTAGACTTGTTTTATAGGATTTTAATCTTTATGGTACTTCAATAATAATATTCCTTAATGAATTAATTTAACATTATGCTACTTTTCTTTCTTATTTTGCCAGGAAAGCACACTATATTTGGAAGAGTATGTAGGGGAATGGAAGTGATCAAAAGACTCGGCAGTGTCCAGACTGATAAAGATGATAGGTGTGCCTTTCATATAATTATTTCTTTTTCTTTTTGTATTGGGTCCTTGATTTAGTACTAATGAGCCAGCTATGCCTGTTAGATTTCAGGGTGGGAATTATTTATAACTTGGGTGCTTAATAGAATTACATTTCTGTGTTGGAGTGATTTCATATGCGTAATAGAATGAATTTAAATACTGCCAGTTTCTTTGTTGTTTCACTCTTCTGAAACTCCATACAATTTTGGTACTCCTGGCTGTGGCTGAGTTACCTGAAATAGTGAAATAATCCAAAATCCTCAAAGCCAGGAAACCTAAATTTGGAGAGTAAGCTGGCAACTCATACCAGCCTGATAGATGTGCCCTCTTAAGAACTTTGTATGAAGTTAAAAATGTTGGACTTAATCGAATATGGTCATATCGTTATCTTAAATGTTATCTTATAGGAAACAATTGTTTGGTCATATGATGTCTATTAAGGCTCGGCTGAACATTGAAATATAAATAAACTCGGTAAACACAGGCTACATTGTTAGGGAGGTCAACGAAATCTGCTGGATAATGTTAAAAGCGATCAAAGATATTTTGTACCTTAGCATGTTACTTGTAAGAGTTTCAGAATTCATTAGAACAGCTGTATCCTCCCTAACATCTTCCAAATTTATATGGTATAATATTTGCCAGGGTATATATTTGGTCTTCAGTATGGTTAATCAAATGCTTGTGATATATTTTGATCAGTGTTTCAAGTCTGCTATTAACAAAAAAATTTGGTTTACTTTTCATGAAATTAGAAATGCTGTTTGTTCTAATCTATGAATATGTAGGTGTTTATTAACAATCATGCTTATTTGTTTTTATTTTTGAACTTCTTCAGGCCCATCCATGATGTGAAGATACTTAGGACCTCTGTTAAAGATTGATGCCTTGTAGGTGTCGTGTTATCCTTTTTTTAATGGTTCCAAAATGCTGTAACCTCTGATTTCAGATTTACCAAATATATTATGGAAGGAAAAGTATGACATTTGAAGAATATAGATGATAGATCCTTGTTTTTAATTTGGAATTTATGATTAAAATAAATGCATCTATTATTTAAATTTGCTAGAGGATTATGATTTTGAAACAAGTGTATATGATACTTAAAAGAGTATTCATCAAGACTTTTGACAACCATACTATTAAGTTTAAATCCAAACAGAGAAATGAGCAAGAGTTCCGATTAGAATTGGGTTGGTTACACAAAATCAAAACTGCAATTTATGCAATCAACTAAATCATTGTATCAATAATCTGATTATCATTTTCGACCAATGTAGCTTCTTTGCTATTTGTTTTTCCTCTTTTTATGACAACCCAACAAAGCCAAAAGAGCTCCCGCATCAGGTGGTGCTCTGGCTAACCATTCATTACAAAATCTAAGGACCAAATCATGCTAGACAAAACAAAAACTGCCTTTAAAAATTTACAAGCCAACTAATTTCTATACTCAAAAGGGGAAAAAATGCCATTTGTATACCTAATTTTCAAAGCAGAACATAGCCTCAGCTCTTCCAAACCACAATATTACTTGCACATCTAAAAGTCAAATTGTGGAGTACTATTGCAACATTCTTTCCCCAAAAAATCTGATCCTATGCAAAGTAACAACTTGGTCACCACATCGTTACCACCAGGCTCTATTTCCACTAGAACCCACAATAACTATACATCAGTAAGCTGTATCTGTCTGAATGCAATCCCCATCTCACTAATGTCTTAGATAGTTGGCAGTTAGAGGAAATCCATAGTTCAACTCAGCTTGCCTGTGTTAGTAGATTGATTCATCTGAACTCCGTTTTCTTCACAATTAGAGGTGTTTAAAATTGATGGTGCTGCCTGATTAAATCCATTGGCCTTGACAGATCCAGAAGTTCCATCACTTGAGAATGTGCTCCCGCTTGGCTCAGGATTTTTGATAGCAGGCTCTTCAGATACCACTTGCTGTTGTAGCATTTCCAAGCGACTTAAAGATGGTACATCGCCCTTACAGTACCTGTGCCACATGTTCCGGAATGTTGACTCCAGACCAAGTGTGTAGTTTTGCCCATCACATACAGGGGACTTGGACATTAGTTCCCGAAGGCTCATCCTCAAGTTTGACAGAGCTGTAATGTCAGAGGCCAATTTTAGTGCCAACTGGACATACTCATCTTCATTTTTGGCAATCAGATGTGGTAAGCCTGTTTCAAAGTTATGCTCAAGTTAGCATACAGAACATAAAACTACATTGTCTAATAAAATATAAAGTACGATTAACACAATAGAGAAGTAGATATTTGAAAAATAACAGTAATGCAATTAACAGGAACTGCAACAAGGAAAAGAAAGGTAGATACAAAAGCATCAACATAAACAATCATCAACGAGTTGACTTTCATAAATCAGTAACTCTCAACTGATATACATGAATAAGTCAACTTCAGTATGGAGAAAAAAAACCAAAGCCTATCGTTGTTTTAAGGAAATAATTAGGATTATATGACAGAAAATATAAGCCATCTTCTGGGATTACAGTATTACACTCAAAGCCACTGTAGGACAAAATCATTGAAATTATTTAAAAGGAGCATCTCTCCAACTCAACATGTCATGTCATATAAAAACTTATAAATTTTGAGACTTCCCTTAAGGTTTGGTATAACAATATGTGGTACTACCTGGTTAATGTTCAATCAATGACCTCCTCCTGAGAGTGGTTCTGATAAATTTCAGAGAAGCTTTCAATTAAATTTCAGAATTTCATGAGTGGTTTCTAACAAATTAAGAAACCACCTGTGTTAGCTAATATTGTAACAAGATGAAAGAGGCAATCCCTAAAATTTACCCTACAAAATTTGGTTGCCTTGGTTTCAGACAACAGCAAAAAGAATGCACAAAGAAGCTCTCGAACACATCAAATCTCAAGAGTATCACTCCTGACAGTTAAATCATTGTTATGGCAAACTCACAAGGTCAAGATATATTTTCAACTCTACCTTTAGATACTGAAGCATTGTTCCATTCCTTGTTTAAGGCACTCATGTTGCTAAATTCCTATAGTTTGAACTCAGACATTCAAATTGAATAATTAAAGATTTTAGTATCATCACCCGACACAAGTCAGCAGGAGACAGCTTCCTCAGATTCTCAGTTAGGGATTATATTGGAGGCTTATAGTATTTAAGTTAATTGAAACTCTAGATTGACAATTTAATTTGCTAACAATCAAGTTCAGTCACTCCCATTGTCAGTATATAAGGGTGAGCCCTCCGGATCAAGGGTTCAACTTCAGAATGACCTTTTCAAACTATATCTGAATTCTTTGAGTCTATATAAAGAATTCCTGGTCTGGCAACAAAAAAACTCAAACAGAGGTCTTCAAGCAACTAAGGATAACATTACATCAAGTAGACATAAAAAAAAAAGGTAGAAAAAAAAGTTACTTAATCCTTACCTACTTTACTGAGAAGACTCACACCAACATTGTGAGCATGTACAGAACCAGCCATAGTAATACATGGAACTCCCATGAATAAAGATTCACAAGTCGTTGTTGTTCCAGCATATGGGAATGTATCCAAGCTACACATATGAGATCATAAAGGTCAGAAACTCCAAAAAAACTGCAAACGTGAAGTTTCAGAACCTAACAGAGCACACAAATATCAATACACTGGATTAGATACTAGTCTGGTTTCAAAGCCAAAACTACATGGCTTCAATTCCAATGTTCATGTAAGCCATTCATGAGATTTATTTGTTTCTAGTATGCAAAATGTACAACCAAGGTAAGTAAATATGTAATAAATTGTTCAACTTACACTATAAATAGAAGGTTAAAAATCCATAGAAGAACTTAATATAGTTCACTAACTTCATCCATTGAATCCTAAGAACCTTCAAGATGCTCCAAAAAGTTTTTCTATATTTTGTAATGAAGTTTAAAATCAAGAAAGAGGAGATGTTTTAATGCCAAAGTCCACAAAAAATTTGAAAAGAGAGAATTTTGAACATAAAAAATAAAAATGGAATAACAACACACATACACTGGAAGAGACCTTTGTATGGACGTATAATGACTAATAGTGAAAAATAAAAGGCATTAGATGATTCATAACATATAGGGTTTGGACTCTCTGAACATAACACTGAGGAAACAAAAAGTAAAAAGAAAGAAAAAATCTGTAGTTTCACTGACTATCAAATGTTAATAAGTAAACTTAGAATTTACCTGATGTCCATAAGGGAATATGCTTGCATATGATCATGGTTCAGAAGAATTAGAGGCAAAAGATCAACACGTAGTGATTCCAATCCCAGTTGCTCCAATGTTGAAAGAAATCTCTGCCTTACACTATCACAACAAAAAGGCTTACATTTTACTACAAGGCGAGAGTTGGGAACAGCACAAAGTATCCTTGCCCAAACTTGCAAAACCTTAGGCGTTATCTGGTAAAGGTACATCAAAAAGATAAGTAAATTGAAACCAGTTAAAAGGCAGAAATTTTGTCTAAATAAGACCTAAAATATACCTTTGCCAGATTATTAAAGCTACCAAATGTAACAAAGCCATTGGAAAGAGCAGGAGTTGGGGAAACAGGCCCAGCCTCTGGTGAAGGTGCATAACAAAGGAAGCAATCAGGTAATCTAACTAGCTCCTCAACATGCCTGCCAAGTTAAAAAGAGTATCATAAAGAGATGGTACAGTAGATTGTATCAAGAAGATCAACTCGGTAAAAGATTATCTTGAAAATGCTTAACAACAAGCGTAACATTGTAGACCTACTTCTGTTTTGTACCAGGAGGGTCTGCCAGTGAATCAGTGATTCTATAATCAATTGCAGGCAGACCAGTTGTGTTTGGGTAACCAATCCAAGTCACCTAATAGATAAAGGCAAAGCAAAACGAGATCAGGGACAACACAATAACAGTTAAAATAAATTGAATAAATAACTTTGGCATAATTAACAGATGCACACACAAGAAACTAGAGCAAGGGCAAAGATAAAGACAAAGATATCTAATATCACAGCATAACTTCAATATGTCCTTGTACCAAACTAGACCATAATATTATATTGAATCTACCTTTTATATAGCTATTTTTAAGCATCCTTTTCCCTTTGGCTTAAGTTGCTAATAAATTTAAGACTTATTTTTCTATATTCATCTCAACTAAGAAGGGTTTCAGGTTGAATTCTTTGAATTTTTGTGTTCTGGTTCAAGGGAGGGATGATTATTCTCAGGTGGAGCTATTACATTCAAAATTTAAACTCAACACCCATTATGTAACATTTTATTATTGAAATACCTTAGATGACAACCTAAAAAGGCATAAGAACATGAAAACACAGAAAACCTGTATGCAACATTTTGAAAATGAATGCGACTGCTCTGAGATTACAAACTTATCCGTCTACTTATGAAGAGATGAAATTCTTGTCATTGATTGTATGATAAGTTACGTATTTTACTTCACTTCTTACTGGACTTCAAAAATTTTCTTAACCTTTTTTACTGTTTTCTTCCTCTTTTCTATTTACATGTTCCATATTCAAAAGAAATTCCTTTAGGCTATAAGTTGTAATTTGCAAAACTCAACCAATGGATGGCATAGACAATATAATCACGAAAGGGTCTAACACCATTAAGAACTCAGATATTTAGCTTAGTCGTCTTTCTCAATCAATCATAACTTCTCTGAGTATTTCTCAATAAACAAGACCACAACAAAAGAAACAATTTTACGCTTGAGCAGACAGCTACATAAACAAATATTCTTCAACATTGAGAAGGAAAGAGTGTGACGAAACAATTTAGTTTGGGTGGAAAGAAAAACAGAACATATAGATAAAAATGAAAAGAGAAAAAAATACGGGTTAATAATGGGACACTTGATCTTTTAGTTCTTTGTAGACACTTGGTCCACAATTGCATCTACTTATCTTTTTTTACTTAATACAAGTTATAGTTTCTTGCAAAACTTATCACTGCATCCTGCATTAACTTATCACCACATTTGTTTGCTTTACTTGGTAATGCAAGTTTTCTGAATTACCCATTATCACTTGAAAAAATCCAAGTGAATTTATTACAACTTGAGTCAATAAATGTGCAAACAGTTTAACAATTGCTTAATAATAACCTGCTATTTGTACCAATCTAAAAAGATGACACCTAAACAAAAAGGTATCTCACTAGAAACCAAAGGCAATCTATTTATGAAACTAAAAATAGGCAAACTATTTCTTTGAGAAGCAAGATGATATGTCAAATAATGATATGAACAAAAACTGCTCTTCACATTATTAATTCATCCTCCACTGACCTATGTAACAATTTCCAGATTTCTAGATTCTTAGATAGAATATACAGCAATCAAGTACAAGGGAGACAAAAGTTTCACCAAAGAAATAGAAAAGAAGTTTTCAGCAGAAAATTGAAAAAGAAATCGATTGCTGGTAAAATCCAGTGTACCTGAACAGGCGCTGGTCGGCATGCCATCATTCCCAACTTATTATTAGCTGTGTGACCAGTAAGTTCTACCAAGATGTCAACTTTATCTTCTCTAACCATGCTAGCAACCTTCTTTTCGTCAATCCCATATATATCTCTCCATATTCCACCCTTTTTCAAGACTTTCTCCCTAAACCTAACAGTTTTTGCATCAGCCTGCAATATAATACTAAAATCAATCCCAAAAAGACAGTGTATAACATATTAGGCCCCAAAGTGAACTACTTTCAGAACACAAATATCTCTTGCTTCTCTTTTTTTTTTTTTTTTTTTCCCTACACAATAATTTCAAGTATTCTACTAAATTGAGTCATTCTTCAATTCCCAGAGAATTTTCATTTGTCATTTATTTTATAAACAAATCCAGAAAACAAAGACCAAAAAAAAAGGGAATATGTTTCTACTGCAAGGCTTCCTTTGGTTTTGAGAGGGGGAAGCAGATATATTATAAAAAACGAAAAAGAAAAATCCATTAAAAACATACTTATCATAGACTGGGTTTTCTAACAAAATCCATACTAATTTCTTCACATAAACAAGCGCACTTGGTAGATCAAACAAAAAGAAATGCATTTTTAACTAGAATAAATGGCATTAAAACTCTGCTAAATCTGGTGAAAGAAAATGCAAGTGAATTAGGTTTAAATTAACTGATAAGCAATAGACATGCAACCAAAACAAAGTATAGAGTAACACAGGGCAGTGCTAGGATACATCCAGAATACCTTTACAACCGCTGAAAAAACGACCACCTTGTAGTTTTCATAGTCATGATAGACAAGGGGTGCTTCAATGAAATATGATACAGAGTGAGTAAAATAATCTGGAGATACATATCCAATCACAAGGGGCCTCTTTGGATCTTTTGAGTTGTCCCATGAAGTGTATTGAGGAAATAACCTCATAAAGCGCCTTCCCCAATCCCTAAAAGCATTAACTTCAGTTTAGATACCTCATTTAAGCCAAAGCTTCACAACTCACAAAAGTGACAACAACATTCAAACATATGCATCAGTAAAGTGTACAATAAAGCATAATTTGTAAAACACAATAATCCATATCAATTTGGATAGAAGAAAGAACCGGTAACATTAAGGTTAAGAAATATACTAGAAGAGGCCTTCAAGAAACTCAACTAAGATTAATAAGTGAAAATAAAAATTAAAGTAAGAATTAAAAAAATAAATAAAAGAACGCTACAGCAATGTGAATGATAAACCTCCATGGAAAAAAATTCTAATGCCTAGTTGAGTTGTCTGCTAACCATCACAACAAGCAGAAAATTTATTCTGGGGTTGTGAATTTGAGAAGGACTATAGCTCAAGATTACATGAAATAAAAGGAAGCTCTTTATAGTTTTAAATCAAGAAGACGAGGGACCACCACTAGCACAGACAATTAAAACTTCTGAATGAGGTTGACATTCGGGTATTAAAAAAGAGATTTATCCTATCCTTATCGTAGTTAATAAATGAAGGCTGTAGTTACTTCATAACTTTTTTTTTATGGATAATTAATAATAAGTATAAAAGTATAAAAGTAGTACATGCAGATCTAAGAAAAGCAGATTACAAAAACAAAAAAAAAAAAAAAAAAAAAAAAAATTAGACAATTACTAGTATACGTACTCTAAAATAGAGCTTGAAAGGAAAAAAAGGATAGAAGTAGAAATAAGATGTTGTGCAGAATGGTGTATATGCACTTGGTTGTGCTCTCAAGGAGAATTACAAGGGAAATTAGTGCCATTGGCCAGTATTCACACAACAAATTGCAAATTAACCAACATTTGAAATCTCTCGAAACCTAATTTTTGCATTGACAAAAACCTAATTTCTCATCTCTCTTCTTCTTCCCCCACTGGGAGATGAATGGATTTAGTTCAGATTTTACTAGTTTGAGCAAGAGCTGTACCCAAAAGTGAGAAAAGAGTGACATGAAGTAGATTAAGGTCTATATATGCATGTTTATAATAAGAATTACGAAGTTAGAAAATAATTTGGAGAGAGTTTCAAATGTTGGTTAATTTGCATTTTGTTTGTGGGATAGTGGTTGTATGGAGTAATTGCCAAATTTTCCATTAAGGGATACTACCCATATGACCATTTTGTCTGCTTGGATGCATGAACTAGATTAGCTTGTATTTGGAATACAAAATACATCAAGCATTATCACTATCATGTAAGATTACTGGCAATCCAAAGCAGTTCAGGTTACATGGTTTCAAATATGTAACCTAAAAAGAACTGCACAAATATCAAAAAAATAAAAATTACAATATCCTAAAAAAATTTGAAAAAAAAAATATATCACTATGTTTGGCTTACTATTTTTATCCAGATTCTAGATCCTATTCTCCAAATAATGTTTGGCACGTATTCCAAGAATATTACCCTATTTTTTTAATTACTTTTAGACCCCATAAGGTTATTAATTTCATCAAATACACCCAAAAAAAAGTTTAAAAATTATCAAAAACACCCCCGCACCCATACTCGCCAGATTCCGGCAACCACCATCGGCGGTAGCCGAAATCTATACAACGGCCAACCATAAATGGCCGGAAGTTCACCAATCTGGCCTTTTCCGGCCAGATCCACCACGGATTTGGCCGGAAAAGGCCGATCTGGCCGTGAACGACGGCCAAAGAAATGGCCGTCGTTGAGGTCAACGACGGCCAAATCTTGGCCATCGTTGACCGAAAACGACGGCCATACCTTGGCTGACGGCCAAAGATGGCCGTCGTTTTGGCCTTTTTCGGCCGTCGACGGCCACGGCAGACCGTAGATCTGGCCTTTTCGGCCAGATCTTGTGGTGGATCTGGCCGGAAAAGGCCATAACGACTCGTTACGACACAGATCCGACCGGTCTGTGTCGTAACTCGATTTTCCGGCCAGATTCCGACGGTGGTGGCCAGAATCTGGCACTACAGGTGGTGGGGGTATTTTTGTCAATTTACATGTTGGGGTATTTATGAAATTAGCAAACTTAGGGGGTTTTTCTATAAATTTTTAAATTTTACCTCGTAATACTCCCATATTCAATTATCCAATACTATCCCCAAAATAATAAACCAAACGCATACTATATATTCGTTGTATTTCGGTAAGACCTTGCTACTGGTTGAAACAATCTTTTCTAAATCAATCAGAAAGATATTTATAATAATCATTCATGAATTAAGCATTAATCCAAGCTACTTAGGGTTTTTATCATATGTTTAATAATATTGGTAATGTCACCACTTAAAAAAAATGTAATAGCATGCCAAGCAGAAAGGATCCAACTGAAACCTGTGTGCCTCAAAAAGCTTATCATCATGCCCCTCATTTATGTAGTTCATAGCAAGCAATCGATTCTACAGAGAAAATAACAAACATTGTGAAGATTACAAAACAACACTATTAGAAAACAAATCAACAAAATTAGAACAGAAATATTTTAGCAAAGAATCAAGGTGCACAGGCATCTGTTCCTTCAATCAAGCTATCTTCAGTCGCAGATATTCAAAATCTAAATGCATTCAAACAGTAAAAGCTATTGATGAGCAAGAAATCTCAAGCTCAAATTTTCATAGCAGATAGCACCACAACTCAAGTTCCAGATTTCATCAAAACAAAGATCTTGATAAATGTAAAAAGAGCAATGCAGAAGACAAAAAGTCTGCCTTAACTTCTGATAGAAGATAAGGAGTTGAATTAATAATGAAGTACATGTTTGGTCAAAATATAACCAGTTTAATTTCTGATCAACAGATCATTCCAAGATATATTTCTAACTTCTGAGTGATTGACATTTTCCTTCATGAAAATATCAGTGTCAAAACACTTTTGGCAAAAAGCATATCAAATTGCCAATTCTTTCTTGTCATGATTTCTCATCCAACATATATAAATATCCTACAAATTCAGAAATTGTATTTGCTATTGGATGCATCAAACAAAGACATATGCCAAAGCAGTCAACAATATAGTAAGGGGGTAGACTTACTTTAATCAACTCAGTCCTCTCTTATCTGCCTATTTATTTTTTTCTCCCTTCTCAATATCACCTTGAATGTTGTTAATATTGAGAATCTAATGATAAATGAAGAATGTACATTTGGTCAATTAGGATATGATTTCTCAGCAGTAGGATAAAGGAGGATTGGGGATAGGCAATCTAGTTAAAAGGAATGTGACTCTTTTCAGTAAGCGGTTATGGAGATCTTCTTTGGAAACTAAATCATTGTGGTGTGACGTCGTTAAAAGTTCATATGGCCTCAGAGTTAACGGTTGGGATTCCCATGTAGTATGAGGATCTTATTGAAGTCCTTAGAATACCATATCCCAAGAATTTCCTCTTTTCTTTGTTAACTTGAAGCTTCTTGTTCGGGGAGGACATGTGTTTTTTTTTTTTTTTTTTTTGGGGGGGGTGGGGGGGAGTGGTTTGGGAGGATTAGGATGGAGGAAGATCTACTAGGCACGATGTTTCCATGTCTTTATAGATGTCCGGTTCCAATTTGATATCTACTAATAGTAGAGTGGTTGATTCTCTATCTTCTTCATTGGAGTTGAGTTGGAAAATTTAATTTTTACAAGAATTTCCATGATTGGGAGATAAGTTAATGGTCTTAAATTTTTTCAGCTCTTGATAAAGTGTGTGAATAGTTCGGAAGAGGATGTTAAGAGTGTGGAAGCCTGAGTCTTCAGGTGGATTTCCTTGTAAATCTTTCTTCAATTGGCTTATTGATGATCTTTCTTATCCTCAATTCCTCCCAATGTCAATGATTTGGAAAGATAAAGTCCCTTCTTAGGTTCAATATTTTGTTTGGTCATTAGCTCATGGAAGAATTTGAACCTAAGATATCATGCAAAAGAGGTGGACTAACAATTGTTTATATCCTAACTGGCGTCTATTGTGGAAAAAAAAATTCTGAAAGTATTCGTCATCTTTTTCTTCATTGTTCTAAAGCACTAAAGACATGGATTGTTTCGGTATCTAGAGGATCTTTATAGGTAGAAGTTTATCGTGCTTTCGGTGAGAGAGAAAAGGATAAGTTTCTGTGGAATTGTTGTGCTTGCTGTATTTTGGGTTTTATGGCCCGAGAGGAATAAAAAAAGTTTTTGAAGAAGCTAACAAAGATGAGTATAAGAAAAGCTTTTCCAATATAGAAAATGTGATATTTAAGGGAAAATTCTCTCACCTCATTTAATGCACCTGACACATGGTTTTTTTTTTCAAATTATCTTGTCTGTTGCCTTATATGTATATAGGCCTCTTATCTCGAACCTCCACTCATGGCCAGCCTTCGCCATCTGGATTTAAGCTAAAATTAGGATATCAGGATTTCAGAAGCCTATTATCTCTAACTTCCACTCAGGTTTAAGGAAATATCCGCAAAACCCCACAAATATTAGAAATCAATGCTACCTCCCCTCACATTCCATAAAATCATCACTATATATGTATATAGGCCTCTTATCTCTAACCTCCACTCAGGTTTAAGGAAATATCAGCAAAACCCCACAAGTATTAGAAACCAATCTACCTCCCCACACATTCCATAAAATCATCACTTACCTCCCCTGACCATGTTAATTTAAACCTTTGAATTTCATGGTCAAAAGGAGATAGGTGATGATTTTGCCAAATCTAAGGGAGTTACTGAAGATTTCTCATAGTTTAAGCGTCAAGTAGATGTTTTTTGAAACCTCACGAGAGGTCAGTTAATATCTAAATATAGTAAAAAATCAAATAACCAATTCAAATTGCACATTACACACAATCTGCATGTCAAATGATTAACAAGTATGCCTCAAGGTAATCATGCTAAACCTTCAACATAACACTTCAAATGCCACATTTAAAACAGTGTTGTTGAAGGCATGCAACCATCACAAGGAACAGAACTTTACAAGCATTAAAACTTCACATGAAAGACCTAGAAGTTATGGTACCTGGCCTGCATTACGAGAATCAGGGTCTATCTTGAGACATTGCTCATAAGCTTCGATAGCCAGAGAGATGTTGCCAGCATCTCTATAGAGAACCCCTACAAATGAAGATAATAAAGAACACATTTACTCACGGAACATCAGATACAGATGAAAACAAGCATTATGTCCTCCAAGACAACTTGAAAATGTAAAGTTAAGAGCAAATAGAAAGCAACAAGGAGTCTAAACCATAATAATTACTCTATTCTGGACAATCTGTAGTTTTTTATTTTTTCTTCTTTTTTTTTTTGGGACAGGAAACAACTGAAAGTTGTATTAATAAAGAAGAACTACATAAGTAGACCATGTGTCCATAAATAACAAAAAGCCCTTGAAAAGAAAAAAGTTGTACATCCTTATATGTGTGAATCTACATCTAAATAACCCTCATAAACATGTTACTAATCCTTACTACTAAAACAGCCCATGAAAATAATTATATTACAACCCTTTCCCGATTAAGCTGAATAAAGAAGAAAGAAGAATCTTGAAATTCTACAGACACTAAGGCCCATAAAGATGATAGAAACCAAGTGTTGTTCCATAAGATATTGAGTTCTTCATTGTCCCTTCAAAACTACGGTCATTTCTTTATTGTCAAATCAACCAAAGAAGAATTAACACCACACTTTCCATACGGTCTTGGCTTTCTTTCCTCTCCCAAAAGCAAAAATCTACTTATGCATATCACTGTTTCTTTTACTTGTGGCTTTCTTCAAAAATCTCCTCTTGCTGAAAGTGCTTTTTTATATACAAAGTATGAAATTTATGCTCACAAAAAAGAAGAGAGAGAAAACACAAAAATCCTGATTACGATATTAAAAACTATATTTGTGTAACTATCTGTATACTTATGACAAAAACAAAGACCCTTCAGCCCGAACAATCCACAAAAATAACTCAAAACATTCCCAGCTACAATAGAAAAAACTAACAAGGTGTCTTAAATTTTCCATTGACACTGAGAACCAAAGAGAAGCAAAAAGCCTAACTGTGGAAACTGATTCTTCAACTGTTATTAAAACTTTTGTTAATCAAGTTCAAAGTTGTATGAATTGCATCTTCAGGTCTGAGTTGCAGGATTATTTTGACAATTTAGCCATAGATAGTAAGATTGACACAAAACAAAGCTAGAGAGAGAGACCTAAGTTATTATATGCTTCAGCATATGTTGGATTAGCAACAATAGCTTTTTCAATCATGCTTGCCGCAGCATCCATTTTACCCTGCCAATGGTCAATAGATAATCAGCAATTTTCACCACATATGCCATCTTCATATATCTAAAACCAAAAACTATTCAAAAGCAAACCTGGACAGTGTAGACAACACCAAGGTTGTTCAGAGACTGGGAGAAGTTTGGTTTAATTGATAAAGCCATCTGCCAAATGAAAATGATGATAATGATAATGAGAACCAAAACAATAAACCCTAAGCATCTGACTAATAAAACTAAAATGCCACACAAGCAGTGAAAATTGCCTGATAACACTCTACAGCTTTATCAAGATTGTCTCGATCTTTGTATATCACTCCCAAATTGTTGCATGCTTCAGCACAATGGGGATTGAAATGAAAAGCAAGCTCGTAGAATACAATTGCCTGTACAATTTGGTTATTAGATTCTAACTGACAAAACCATTAAGAAAGAAAAAAGTACAATCCATATTACATATATGACAAAAGGGAAAAATTTGTTCACCATTATCCCAAATATAACATAAACAAATGCACATGCATGCACAAACATGTCCCTACCATGTCAAATTTAAGCATTTCGCCATAAGCAACCCCAAGATTATACATAGCATCAGCATAGTGCCAATTATAATACAAAGCCTTCTTGTAATACGCCACACCTTGATTGATGTCACCCTCTAATTTAACCTGAATAAAGCAAACCAGTGAGCCCAAATTCAAGGAGAAGATTGAAAGCTAATCATGATAGGCATGAGAACAATGCGATTGAGTTGACAGACAAGAAAGCAGTCAGTATACTTTTCATAGAAGAAAACATGTAGAAAGAAGAAACTAGAAGAATAACTTTAAAAAAGAAATAACATAAAAGTTAACAATATCAACACCAATAACTGGAATCTATAATTTGACATTATAAACCAAAACTGAAAACTAAACAGTATAATAATGTTTATCCAGAAAAATATGAGGATGAAAATGATTGAAACTGTCCTGAACAAAGTAAAGGTTGGAAATTTTACCAAAAGTTCATTTTACGTTCCCAGCATATCTGGAAAAAATCATTTCTATAATACTATGTTAGATTAAGAAGTTGGAATCTATAGCGTCCTGTTAATTTTAGATCTCTTTAAGTAGATAAATCCCTGATTAATACAATTGAGCAAAGATTTTCAAGCAGTTCTGCACCTTAACTCCATCGTAAACATCTAGTATTAATTTCATCTTTTGATAAAACTACAAGCTCAAGCTCATGTCAATTTCATGAAAACCTTGGATACTTGGTCAGCTAAAACTTAAAAACGGAAATTTCAAAATTCTGACATAAAGATAGAATACTGTATTTCATTTATGACTGCAAGAAGATCTCTGGCCACAAGAAACCACCTTTGTTCCTAAATCTGTCAAGGCTATTGCCATATTGTTCTTTGCAATCTCAAAATTTGGTGACACGGCAAGACACCTGAGACAGCAGCATTTAGAACACATAGCCTTAGCAAGGGGTACAAAGCACAATCAAGGCACAGAGACAAAATTGTAAACAATTTAGCTGAATACCTCTCATAACAAGCAATGGCTGACTCCAAGTCACCACGATTTTTATAGATGACACCCATATTGCAGTATGCTTCAGCATACAGAGGCCTCTCCAAAGCAGCCTTCTCATAGCAACTAAGTGCCGTATCATATTGCATCATTTCAGAGTAGACAACACCAAGGTTGTAATATGCTGGCTGCACATTTAAATTTTAAGTTAAAAAATTAAAAAAAGAAGTATACCCACAAAAGCGAAAAAATATATCAACAAAAGAAGACTCGAGATAAGAGAAAACATGAAATTACAGCATAATGAGGATCTATTCTTAAGGCTTCATAATACTTCTGAATTCCCTCTTGAGTGTTGCCAGCTAGCTTTAAGCTGGTTCCAAGATCTGTTAGAACAATTGCTAGGCACTCTGCAGCTGGTTTGTAAGAAGGGTCCGCACTCAACGCCTTTTGGTATGACTGTCCAAGTAAATTGATCAAGCCTTAGTAATAATCAGACATAAATCACTTTTTAGCAGGGAAAAAAAATTATATATATAATTCATTCATTACAGGCCAAAATTTAGTGCAAGTTATTCAGCACAGTACACAAACGGGAATATATAATTTGAAAGAGCATTACATTTAATACTCTACACAGAAGCAAGCACAATAAATAAAGCAGATGTGCAATTATATATATCAGCATGACAATCAACTAGAATTTCTTTAGATGACTAGAAGGATGGGAACTTTCTTTTAATCTAAAACAATTCTGAAGGCTAAAACTATAAGATATTAAACCTTTATTGAGAAAAAAATAAATATGCAACAATGAAAGAAAAAATCTTTTTTTCTACTAGGGGAACAAAAAAGCATTCATGGGTCAAATGACCCTCGAAGCAGTAAAGATAACTATCTTAGCATAACTAAAGACCCTAATTATCCCCTTTCATCCACATCAGTGGGAAAGAACTTAGATAATACTGAACCTTCCAATAGAAAAGGTATCAGTAATCTTCTAAGCATGTTTGCTCATGTGGTAGTTGTTAAATCTATATCCTTGGGTGGTGAGCATGAAAAATGAAAAATGCTCAGGTCCTAACAATCAAACATTCTAAAGATAGCAGCACCGGCAAGGTATGGAAGTAGTCATGCAATTCAAGCAAACATTAGCAATACTAAGGATATTATTAGGAAGGCCAAGGCAGTAGGACAATAGACAGTAAAGATGGAACTAGGTGAGGTTGCAAAAGGCATGGTGAGGAATTTTAGCACTTAGGGAAAGAGCAAGCTATCAGTTATAGGTACAGAGAAAAGTTTAAGCAAACTCCACAAACCAATAGCAAGAAAGCTATTTTCCACTTTAGCAAGATATATTTATCAAAATCAAAGAATTGCCTACTATCAACATGAATGAACCACCCACAAGAACAACTCTCAAGCAGTTTGGCAACAATGTACAAGCACCACAGCAGTCACAACAGATAGCTATCAGTAATAGCTTAGAAAATGCAGTTTAATGGTAGTGTGGGACAAGGAATTGTAAGAAGATTACGATCTCTTTACTAACGGCAAAATAAGAGCAAGACATTCAATTAGTCACCACAACCTTGAGCAATGGTATGAAAAAATAGAGATGGTGTCAAAGGCAAAAAGTGTGCAGGCTGACTTCGGAGAAATGTGTTTGAGCATTTTCTAGAAAAGTACCAGATTCAGAAGGCACCTAAAGTTAGCGCTTTTCTATAAGTCATTCCAAATGCCTTTTTTCACTCCAAAAAGCACTTCGACTATTATAGCCATACACCACATTATTGATTTCAAAAGCACATTTAAGAGTTCCAAATATGTTCCCAAGCACACCTTTAGTCTATGTTGATCAAGGAAAGCAAAGATGCTGCATTCCTTAGGTGGCGACATGGACTTCTAGTGCCAATTCACAAAGAGACCACAGCAAGAAAGCAATGCCAATTGAGACCAGTACAAACATATGATAGATCAATGCTGTGCAGGCAGAACCACCAAATTCTGCATCTCTCTATAGGCAAAGTCGCCATATTGAGCTACCTTTTGTACTGTGACCCAACTAAAGTAATCAATAACCAGTCTTGTTAAAATGCTAGCAGTACAGCACGGTTTCAAGACTCTACTTTGTCACATCAAGCTAAACCTAAGCTACACTGAACATGGTTGAACCCATATTTTCTTAGCGGGCTAGCTCAAAGGCAATAGGAATGCAAAAAGATGAGGTCTCAATAATAACTGAATTTCGTTATGTTCAAAGTTAACAACCAGAAATACCAAATTCACTGTACATCATATTTGGTAATTCACCCTTTTTGTATCAAAATTATAAGCAAAATTGATATGTTCATCAGAATTAATCATAAAAATATAGATCAATGTAGTACAACCAACTACAAGTAATACAAAAAGTGGGTGCAAACATTATCGAATTTCACCAGGGTCTAGGCTCTATAAGTACACAAGCATAAGACAAACTAATTATCTATCATGCAAGATTGTCATCATTGTAAAATCGACTTAACTGCCATGAGCATACCTCGGCAGCCTCTACCAGGCGTCCCTCGTCTTTGTACAGTATACCACAATGTGTGTGGGCACATGCATTTTGCGGGTCCAACTTGATGGCTTCTGCAAAACTGTCAAAAGCAGGCCTTCCCATGTTCTGCATCTGCAGGCATATTCCTTTCCCAATGTGAGCCTCAACATTGCCACTATCTTTCTCCAAAACAAGGTCATAGAGTGCAAGAGCATCAACAAACTTGTTCCTTGATCGGAGAATATTTGCATAAGAGAGATTATCCTTCCCTTCAAACCCCTGTTGTGCTGAAGCAATAGCCACGGGAGAGCCATTGGTACCAGGAGAAGATTGTGGCCCCTTCAAAAAACCATTTTCTTGAATTGGGTCTCTCTTTCTGCCATTACTGACATCTTTTTCCGTCCATGCCATCCGGGTATATCTAAAAGTTCACTCCTCTAACAAAAAACAATCAAAAAAATTAAAATTTAGTCCCATATATAATCCCATATCTCAAAAATAACAAATTGAACTGAAATAAACCGAAGTTTGAAACTTTTGGAGAAAATAAATAATATAGAGCTCGACTATTTAGCAACTGAGAATTATTATCGACTCATTCAATCCTTGTACCCAGAAATTGGCAAAACCCAGTTGAAATAAAACCTTGAACGATAAAAAAACCCTAACCATGCAAAACAGTAGTAGCTACACCATTGCTAAACGACACAGTTTAATTAAAACTCATCCTACTTTATAAAGAAAAACCCTAAGGAACAAACAGCTAAAACAAAACCATCCGTGCAACCCAGAAAATCCCACTTCAACGAAAGACAAAATATGGGATCCAACCAAATTCTACCCACAATCAAATCTCATAATCAACGATAATCCCATATCAACACACACATAAAAAGCAAAAGTCAGTAAAAATTAGGGCTTGGAAACTCACATTCAAAGTAAACAAGAAGCTCTCCAGAACTAGTGACGCATACTAAATGTTTGCGAAAAAGGCAGAGTGAAAAACACTAGCCCTTGCTTGCTTTTACCAGTTCAAACTCTTCTCATTTGTAGGTTCGTGCGTTTGAAATAGGGGGTCAAAAGACTCCCCTCTGCCTCTCTCTCTCTATCTCTCCCTGTGTGCTGAAACTCAACACAAACACAGCAGGAACAGAACACGAACAGACACAGTGGGGTTGGGTTCGACGTCTCCCAAAAACAAAAAAGAGAAAGGGACTGTGACGTCCGTTCGTTAATTACAACAAGAATTTGTCAGTTAAACCCCCGCGTTTTGACTTTATTTGCTACCGTACCACTAGAATACAAGTTGTGTAGTTTTGCTGGTAAAAAATTGTGCATAAGGTGACTTTGGTGCCCAGATTTAAGGGGTCGTTGTCGTTTTAGAGTTACATCATGGTTGGTTACCCATCATTTTATCTCTTTTCAATTCCCCACTATGTCATTGTTATATTTTCCTCATCTGTGATTTCTTTTGCCTACTCAAGTTGTATTTCATAAATTCAACTTTTAATTCTTTTTTAAAAATAGAAAAATTTTCACTAGTAATAAAACACATAAGTAGTCATATCTTAGGTTCAACCAAATAAAAATTGTCCAGATCCGCACAAATTTACTTTTGGATTTCACACAAGCACTATAATGTAATTCTTCCCAAGCTTCAAGTTATAACGTCCGATGGTTTAAATATAATACACTTTGAATTAAAAGCAAAAAAAAAAATACTATTGTGTTACATATGCAAATTTCTTATATAAACTAATTCATAAAAATTGATTTGTTATACTATAATCCAATGAGTTAAAATTAAGAAAAATGTAGTTATAAGACCCTTATTAGATACTCAAATTAAATGCATTAGTTAACAAACATCTTTGTCAAGATATATATTCGACCAAAAATGTCTTTTTAACTTGTTTATCCTTACCACCTAACACTACTTCAGGAAGAAGTCAAAACAAAATATCTTCAGGAAGAAGTCAAAACAAAATATCTTCCCTTGGTCCATGGAGAAAGGTAGCAAAACCAATGGATGTCCAAAGTAAAGCGACCCTGTAATTGAACTAAATCCACAATGAGTCAAGAATGCTCCCACCGATTCATGAGCTAATATCCTGAGCTGAGGTGCCCAACTCGTCTAGACCACTCCTCTTCCCTTCACTCTTTCCTCAAACCCATCTGGAAGAACTATCGTTTCATCTTGATTTCTCAGTGCCCAAAAGAAAGGTAATCCGGATAACTTGAGCCCCAAAGCCAACTCAGTCAACTCATTTTGACTCAAATTCAACTCGCTTCCAAAGGCAACATAAATAAATGTCTTTCTCTTCCGTTTTCCTAACCACTCGCTAATTGTAAGCCAGGTGTTATCTTTATTAGCGTCTCTGCTATCGTGAGCTGTGGGTGGCAACCGCCCTATAGGAATAACTGGTTTACCATGAAGCTCTCCCACGAGGTATATCCACTCTCATTCAATCTCCATGCAGCTTCTTACAGCCATCACATCATAACCCGCCATTACCGTCCCTATACGAACGATATCTGTGACTTCCGAATCGTTCATCTCAAAGTGACCAAAAAAATTTTTCACCTCGTAAAGCCGATACGCAACTCTAGTATCAAACGATACCCACTTCGGAGGAACCGTGAAATCTTGCGGCTTAGTCCGTGGATCCTTGCCGTTGATCATGGCAGACGATGATGGTCTTCTTGTACTTGGGCAACAACAGTTTGAGCAAGCAAAGCATTGCTGGTACCATGCAATTGGGAGCAAGATTGATTTAGAGAGTGGGCCATCCCAGGAGGTCCTAGAGCTTTATAACAAGGCTGAGGACGGCATGGAGAAGGGCATGCAGATGTGGGAGGAGATGGAGGAGCAGCGTCTGAATGGTCTATCCAAATTTGACAAATACAAAGATCAGTTGCAAAAATTAGGTTTGGATGGATTGCTTAAAGATGCATTTCCAGAAGAAGCTGCAAAGTTGGCTCATCAGTTAAGGACGCCCGTCCACAAGTTATGGAAGGGCGTCCAAAGTTCTTTTAATTTTTATATTTATATTATGGACGGGCGTCCCTTATTTGCGGATGTCCATCCAAAATTAATGGACAGCTGTCCATAAAGGATGAACGACCGTCCCTAAATGTTTTTTAATTTTTTTTAAAAAATTCTTAATGGACGGGCGTCCATTAAAATATGACATAACCTATGAATGGCCGTCCCTAATTTTTATAAAAATATTTTATTCCATTTTACTTATGGACGGGCGTCCTTTAAATGGGGACGCCTGTCCATAGTAAATAGACTCCCGTCCATATAATATGGATGGGAGTCCATGTAACTGAATGGCCGTCCATCCGTTCACTAGAAAAATATTTAATAACGCGTCTTTGCTGGTGTGAGTCAGGGGACACGTAGGCCGGTACACATTTTCGGTGCAAAAATGCCGGTATCCATAGCTTTATTGTTATGACAATAGCTACTGTTTTGGTTTATTTTTGCTGAATGGTTGTATGGATTAAGGAATAGGTGTTCCTCTTAAAGGAATGGTCGTTCCACTTGGTGCACATAAATTGCAAAGGAAGGAACAATCACTAGAACGAGACTGTTCCTCTAAAACGGCTTAGGTATGCTAGAACGCCTATTCCAATCCCAAGAATGACTTTCCAGTTCTAGGAACGGTTGTTCCAGTTCCAGGAGTGGGTCTTCCTATTCCTATTCTGAAATTTGTTTATTCTTCCTATTACTGATGATTGTTGTATGAAGTTATATGTATGTCACTGCAATTTCTTGATTATATTCCATACAAATTAAGAAATTATTGTTACTATCACTTAATTTGATATCTATATTATGTGTAATTTGTTAATCACTAAAGTGGCTGAATTAGAAATCGTCATAGATGTCAAATTAAGTAAAATTCAATTACTCATTATCAATGTTTTAAAAATCGACTCGAGACAAAACCTGGCAAGCTGGCTGGGTCCTGGGTGGACCGATTTAACCAGCTGGTTCGACCGTTGACATCATCATGCTGACGTCAGCAATGTTACTGTTCACAGAATGCAAAATTCCAGAATTTGGATCCAAATTATAAACTCCTGAATAAAAAGTCTTTAGCAAAGCATCATCAAACATCATTACATCAATAATACAACAAATTACAAATCAAAATAACAAAATGAAGGAAGAAATCACATAATAGTTGTTTAACACTTCAACATTCTAACAAAAAATGATCTTCACCCAATGGTCTTCAATCCATCCTTCCATCCTCAATTAAAATTCACAATTCACACACCATCTGATAGATGATCGTCATCATTATTAACATCGGCAACATCATCTACAAAAAATTCTATCAAAAAAGGAAAATCATAAGTTAAGTATTCCCATTTAAACTAATTGAATATAAACTAGCTACGACCAAATTGAAATTGCTTAAAAAATTGGAAACAACCTTCTGAAGCATCTATTGAGTCATAATAAGAAGGGTGATCACCACCATCTATAGGAATAGCTCCTTCTCCATATAATGATTGTTCCAATTCATCATAATTAAGCTCACCAACCTCCTCTTCCTCATCAACTATCCACCATTCAGTTTTATCAATACTCTCAAAATCAACAGGATCATAAGTAATTTTCTTGTAACAACTCCTGAAATAGCAAAATTAAATATTCAAATCATGACCAATAAAGACATCAATGAAAATAAAAGAAGAGATAATAATTAATAACAAAATGAAGAAGGCTTTATACCTATTTTGCAAACGCAAGTAATGATGAGTGAAAACCAAATCATTCAACCATGGATGCTCCAATCTGTTCCTTTTTTTAGTATGTATGTGTTCAAAAACACTCCAATTTTGCTCACATCCGGAAGAGGCCGAAGTTTGACTTAGAATTTTGATTGCAAACTTTTACAAATTTGGAGCACTAAACCCAAATGTCCTCCACCATTCATCTAATTGAGAATAAAAGTATAAATTACATAAGAAATAAACACAATTTCATAACTTAAAAATTTAATAACTATTACATACCCAACCGTGTAGTTTTGCAAGTTTGAAGAGCAAGCTCACGAGAAAAGTTTTCTAGACGGTCTCGATATAATCTACTCTCCTCCAGTAACATTGTCTTGCTCATTTTGAATGTACCTGATTTATTGTCAATAGTGTCAAGGAAACCATACATGACCTCAAGTTTTTTGGGAAAAGTATCTTCGTCATATTTAAAAGCAGGATTCAAATAATATGTTGCTGCATGAATATCATGGTGCAACATCCTATCCCAGAGCATCTTAATAATTATTGTATAAGGCTTGTACAAATTTTTCTTATTCTTAAACAGCTTCTTGATCCCCATCCTCGTTCTGTACATGCCTTCATACACATATCCTATTGAAGGCCTCTCATCTGAGTCTACAATTCGGAGCATAAGCATCAATGGACTCACAACTTTGGAAATTATACCAATGTCATCCCAGAATCGGTTATCTAGAACTATGGAAATAAAGGCAAAGCCTTTATTAGTTTTTGCATATCGAGACTCCACAAAAGTTATATATGTCATCGTAGATTTCAAGTCATGTTTGTGCTGATGTAGGCTACTCAATGCAATGAAAGTTGTGGCAAAAAGTGTTGCACCTAGGCGTATAATTTCTGTCCAACCCTATTCAAGTGATAGACAATAGATGTTAGTACTTAGTAAATTATTAAAAAATGTATATATATAATATGACTTGACAATGTAAATTATAAACATATGAGGTAAAGGTATATAACCTATTTTTTCCTCAACAAAGCTAGCACAAATGAATGATTATACACAAACTTTGTAACCTCAGATGCACATCTCGAAAGGTTAACTATGTGACTCATCTCAGCTATGTCTTTCAGCATCAAATCAATGCAATGTGCTGCACAAGGAGACCAAGTAATACTGCTATATTTTTCAAACAACATTTTTCCAGCAGCTTTATAATTTGCTCCATTGTAAGTGACAAGATGGACAATATTGTTTGGTCCAACCCATAAAGTTATTTCCTCAAACAAGCTGAACAATGTTGTAGCATCCTTTACAACATGTGAAGCATCCACTGATTTCACAAAACACACTCCTTTAGGACAGTACACTAGAAAATTAATCAGCGACCTATGTGAATTATCTATCCAATCATCAACCATTAAAGTACATCCAACATCCTCCAAAATGTTCTTGTAACCATCAACAAGTAATTGCACTTCTTTCCTAGCATCTCTTAATAAATTTACACGCAAATTATGATAAGTTGGGATTTTATACCCATGACCAATTGCAGTTATAGCATCCACCATAGGTTGAAAATAAATTGAATTAATAACATTAATTGGGATGCAAGAATCATAAAATAACCTTGCAATAGCCATGTCCGCTCCCCACTTAGCTTCTTTTTCGGCTAAAACACTCTTAATTGAGGGCTAAGACCCATGCTTAGTCCTCGGAGCAAAATAGTCACCTATCCTAATAGATCTTTTTCTCTTAGTGCTTGAAGTTGAAGTTGGAGTTGAACATGGAGAAACCTCTTCACACTCTTGATCTTCATCTAACATATCACCCTCAAATTGTTGTACACTAGCTCCATAAGGATTGACATTCTTACAAAGTTCAACTTTTTGTTTATTCTTAGCCCCAATTTCATTTAGTGCTTCTTTAATCTTGAACTTAACATTGAAAGGAACTTTAGAGCACTTTCCAACTTCTCCCTTTATACCCGCTAGATGCAGTTTCACTTGATAAATTCCTCCACCTCTGATTATCTTGCCACAGTAAAGATATGTTAATATCTTCTTTCCATTTTCATCCAAGCCCTCATTAACATGTCCCCATGCTATGTCATTCCTTCCTCAAAAAGATTGTGAAACATCCATGGAAGCAGATTTTTGACAAGACCCAGATGATGACATATTCTTTGTCTTTAATCTTGATCTCTAACCTGGCGACACAAATAACAAATAAGTTAGTATCGATCATAATAAAAAATATCTTCATAAATTAAATTAAAGATTCAATATGTTTGATTAATTCTTGCATGGCATATGTGTGTATTGTGTAAAGTGTAAACATAAGAAATTCAAATACTTCAAGATGTCCACATAAAGCCACAACATCATTGTGGCAATTAACCTCAATCAACCAACTATGTCTAATGGAATATGTCGCACTAAAATATGTTAGAGTAGGTGCCCTACAACCAATCAATTATTGTAAAATTGACTATTTAATAAATGTTTATTTATCAATAAAAGGCATATTCTTCTATATCGTGTATATAATGATATATGTCCTTAGGATGGTAGAACCATGATGAGGGTATCAAATGTTTCAAATCTTGATAGTGAGAACCTTATGATCACATATGATGGCCATTCTAGAAACGTCCGTAGCCCTAGTATTATTCTGACCAAGGACACCGATAATACGATAAGGCTATCATAGTGTTGAACGACTCTGTCAAAAGGCAGTGACTAATCTCACTTGTCAAGGTTGTTTGCTGATAACCTGGTGCAACGCATGGGTGCTTGCTAGAGGTAAGTTAACTAGACAGACCCACTAGAGGATTCCATATGGATGGTAACCTCAATGTCTATGGAATAAATCCTCTAACAGATGGTGGTGCATGTGATCCTTAGACTTGAGATCACTAGAGCGCCTTGTGCACCAATTGGTGTAGTTTGACACTAGCCCAATGTAGTTCTATTCAAAGTTATTAATACGGTAGTGATTGGCTACATTGAGAAGTGTATCGAGACTATGGTGGATCAACAAAAGATTCATCACTCCTGGGTACGGGAGAAGTCAGCTCATTGGGTAATTTAGTAAATGGCAATGACACTAAATTTGTGGCCACAGTGGGATTGAGTTGATGCTCAATCCAATTTAATATTCTTGTCATTAGTCTAGTAACTGAATACAAACACGTCGAGGATATCTGAGATTGACACTATTTCTGTACCTTAGTCTCGATGAGATAACAGTTGATGAAAGGATTTGATTGCACGGTAACCATTTCGTTGACAGGCTACGGTTTCGCTGAATCCAAATCTATTGGATGGCCATGATGCCTTGCTAGGGGCCAATCTTGGTCTGTGTGTAGTGAGACGATTAATTAGTGTTAATCGCGATACTGAACACTACTGATATGATGAGGAGCCTACGGGTCACACACTTAGAAGATAATTTAAGAATCAATTTGTGAGAAGGGTATTTTCGTCTTTTAGGACGAAAGGGTATTTTGGTAATTTCACTTTGCAATTAAATTCGCCGAGTTTATTGCCTGTATTAAATTTTAATATTAAAATTAAATTTGTGAGATTAAATTTAAATATATCTCTGTATATATTTAAATGATTTATTATTATTAATTAACTATTAATATATTATTATATATTAATTGATTTTAATTATAATAATAATTAATTAATTAAAACACCATAAAGAGTGTGTTTGGTTGCAAGGGTAAACTAGGGTTGGAGCCCATGGCTATTCCTAAGTGGAATAGGGTTTTAATTGTTGCACTATATAAGTGTAACTTAAAATTAAAACATGAGAATTATTCATTCAATTAAAACCCTAGCCACCCTATCTCTCTCTCTCAAGAAAAAATTTTTTGTTCTTCTTTCTTGATTCTTGAAGCCCTTGATTGTTCTAGCAAAATAATCAAGGGTTCTGCGGATTATCTTCGTGTGGACTTCCTTGAGTGCGATCCTACTTTGGATCGATTGACGAAAAATCATATGAACAGTAGAGGTGAACAGTAACAGTGAGCAGTAGGCGGTGAACAGTAACCATGAACAGTACCATGAATAGAGTTCCTATCTGAAAATAGAGATATTCGAAGGAGCCTCTAAATGTACGTAAGTATTCTAATCCTTGAATGGATTTACTTTATACAGATTTTGTTTATAAACATGTAAACAATATAATCTATACTCGGATCTAGGCAAAGAAAGGTAATTGATTTACCGATTGAATTTTTGTTTTCCGCTGCATATGGTAGATCACAAAATGGGAGGAGATTCTCGGTACCCCTGCTAACGACGAACACAGTAGTTCACGGTAAAGGCTGAAGAGACGAAATTCGACGGTGCAAGGGAGACTCCGGCGGAAGATTTTTAGGTTCAAACCAAAAGTGAGGGAAATGGCGTGAAAATGGGAGGGATATCTTTGATATTTGCTTTGGGACTGCGGGTTTAACTGTTTAATTTTTATAGAATATGGATTTAATTTTTAATTTTTTAAAGTTGACCCAGTTTTTTTTTTTAAATAACGATTGGACCAGCGGGTGCTAAAATGCATCAGTCGAACCGCGAGTGTAACTGGGCAGACTCATAACGTCGGTTTTTAGCCTCACCCGGCCCAGCTCACTGGTCGGGTCTCGGTTCAACCAGCCGGGCCGAGCTAGGTTTTTAAACATTATGAGTATGTGTTGCCACTAATGAGATGACATGATGATCTATGTTTTTACTTGGCATGAGTAATTTGAAGCTCATTGATTATAGAATATATACGGATCGCCCAAAGGTTGATCGATCAATTTTATAATCATGAACATAATCATGGTTCATTAATGTACTTGGTTCAATATGTTTTGTATATCCAAAGATAACAAGCATGCCTAATTGAAGTATATACAATTGCCAATTATGTAAAATTAAAATTAAGCATCAATCATGTTTTATTGTTGTATACTGTTGTATCACCCAAAGGAGAACTTCAATGTACATTTAATGTTTATGTGATTGATATGTCAATCTGTATTATGTATTTAAGTTATAACTCAAAGCATTAATGTGTGAGCATTATGTTAATTTTATAGAGTATCATCTATTATTCTGTAAAATGTGGAATAATCATTTACATACTCCATTTGGACCTGGTTTAATTCATGTCATTGGTGTTCGACTTATGTGGTTTGATATTGACTTATTCACTTAGGAGACTTAATTCATTTCTAGGATTTCTGGGTGTTTTTCTTAGACTATCCTTATCAAACTAGAGAAACCAACCCCTATTTATAATCACACCCAGGACCCCAAGTGGTTACTAAGGTGGTTACCTCAAGTTACATCCACTTCCTTCATTTAAAGGAAGTGGATGTTAATGCCCATAATTAAGTGGCAATTAATGGGCCACTTACATTCTCCTGCTTGGCCATTTTTGTCATGTAAAGAGTGAATTGACTTTGATGTATGTCCCTATATAGAACTTTAATTCACTCCTAATGGGCTGCCCACATTCATGATAAAAGCCTAGTTAGTAAATACGGTTATGGCAAAAAAAGGGTTCGAGAATTTTACGGGTATGATACGGCAAATGATGAAAAATATGTTTGTAAAAGTTTGGCCATAAAATTCGGATACAGGAAAAATACGGTACCGGTATATACGGGTTTAGTATGACGCATTGTCAATAATATATTTTAAAAAATACGGCAATATCAATCTTGGTTTTAACATTTTTCATGGACCACCTGGCTTAAAATCAATATAGCATTTCAAATGTAAAGTATTCAATTAACCAATAACAATTAGACCTAACAATATAACACAAATACACAATATATAACCGAGATTCAAATTATAGTCTCCATACTCCAACATAATATATAGCCAAGATTCAATTATAGTGTCAAACCAAACACATGAGTCATAACAAAACCAAAATTCAAAGTCGAATTAGAGCTCCAAACAAATAAAATACACAAATAATACAGCCAAAATTCAAATTATAGTTTATTAAAAAAACTCACAAAGTACATAAACAACAATAACAACTCAAAAAAGGGTACCATCTAGCCAAGAAATGTCATCATTATCCATCAAGTCATCCTTGTAACCCTTAATCGTAGGTGCAGAATTAGCATCTTCATCCATATGAATTTCTTCATATTCATAGTCTGGAAGCTCTCCCAATTTCTCAAGATCTATAGGTTCCAAGTCGTGACTCATCGTGAAAGTGAACTTATCCATTATCATCGTGTTCATTCTCACATACACAAGTGTGTCTAGCATTTCATGTGACAACCTATTCCTTTTTTTTTTTTTTTTTTTTTTTTTTTGACTAGCTTCAAAGGCACTCCAATTTCTCTCACATGATGAAGCGCTACAAGGTTGACTCAAAATTTGAATGGCATACATCTTGAGCATAGGAAGATCATCCTCATTGTAATCCCACCATATTCCTGCAAATGACATAAACAAATTTCTTGAATACAAAGAGAGAAGCAATGTACAAAAAAGATATACAAATTTTTAAAAAACTTACGAGGATGACTTGTTTGTAACATTGTTTTTGCCATTGCAGTAAATAAGGTAGTTGGCCTACTACGATACAACTGAACCTCCCTCATAAATGGATGATTTTCTTC